AGCGGATGTGGGGAAAGGTAAGGCTGTCCGCTGGGAGGCAGGACATCAGGACTTCCTGGGAGATCCCAGTTGATGCAACTTGGCCAGATAAGGAAGGAGGAAAGTTGGGAGCACTTGAGTATGATGGGAAGAAGGGAATCAGGGAACCCAGGGAAATTAAGTGGGGTCTTAGCCATGAGGAGGAGTTCTTCCCTAGGTCTAGCTTACAGCCCTGCTGCTGTTGTCTGGGTATTTTCCTCCATGTGACAGATTTCTTTCCACCCGGGCCTAGGCTGTGCCCCCACAGCCCTCTGAGATCCCCCTCGGGGAGTGCGGTGGGCAGGGAGAGAGTCTGGAGAGACTCTCATACTCTCTGCACCGACCTCTGAGTGAGACCCGGCCGACGTGTCCAGCTGGAGCCAGGGATTCCTGAGTTTCGATCCTTTTCAGACACTGGCTTCCTCTGGGATCTTGGTTTTCCGGTCACACCAAAGGCCGAGAGGAAGGTGGGGGTCTGCATGGTGGCAGCGGCTGAGGCTGGGTGGGCAGACAGCAGGCGCATCCCGCCCCAGGCCAAGCCGGGTGTGGGTGGCCCACGAGCAGGCGCAGGTCAGGGTGGCGAGTGGGGGAGCCCCGCCACGTGGCCAGCGAGGTCAGCAGGGGTTCATGGGAAAGGACTTGTCGGCCACAGGAGAGGACATCCTGCCTGCGTTTCCCTCTTCCTGCGGCAGGAGCCCACGGCCCCGATTTAGAAGCGCTGGGGGGCCACCTCTGAGCCAGCTGGGCAGTGTGATAACACCGCCCATCCTGACCCCAGGCAGGCGGGGGCAACTGCCCGGCACAGCTGGCTGCACCCGCAGCTGCGCTGCACTGGGGGCTCAGCATCTGCCAGGGTTCTCCTCCTCCCCACCCTGGAGGTACTCAGATGGCCCCCACTTCCACTCAACCTCACCACTGCTCCCGGCTTCCCAAAATTACCTCCATGCCACCCCAGAGCACCTGCTTCAACAGCCCCCCAGTGATCAGCCCCGGCTTCCTAGGCAGGTGGTAGAGGTCTTCATGCTGGGGTTCCCAGGATATCCTTAGCCCCATGTGCACCTAGCCTGCACCCACCACACACACCAACCCCAGCTGACCTTTCTCCTGCTCCAGATCCACGCTGCCCTTCACCCTGCCTTCCCGAGGCTTGGAGAACTCCAGGCCAGGGTGCTGCTCTCAGTGGAAGGGACCTATGAGGAGACTTGTAGACTAGGAAATTAAGGCCAGAGGGGTGAAGTGGCTCACTAGATGCTAGAGCAGCTTTGAGGGAGGTGATAGGTGTCTGGTGTCTAGTTCCAGATGGCATGGGAGCAGAA